CTCTTCCACCAGTAATCGCACGAAACGTATCTTCAGGCTAATGAATCGTGAAATCATTGATAGTATAATTTTACTGGTGTCTATCTACTAAACTGCATCGGAAGTTACTTATGACTTCACCTTTTTGAACTGCTACAACCACTTTGGGACAAAATGTTCGACGTAAATGTGGCAACGAAAATGGGAAGTGGGGAGTAAAAATTTGAATGAGTGGTGACAAAATGTTTTATAAGGTTATCGTAAATTTCACTAAATTTAAAAATGAGTCAATTTTAGGAAAGTTAGGAAATTTCAGTCAATTTAGGAAATTTCAGTTTAATAGCTGAAACGCATACATCTAATTCGGAAACAATTTTGGTCGATAATAATTATTCTAAACATGTTTTCCTTGTTGTTGTTGTTTCTAATAACACTTGCCAATATTAGCAAGCCTGCTTGGTGAAACCAAACGAATTTGAGGCAGAGGGGGAGTTTCTTGCTTTTGAGGGGTGCCATCTACGACCAAGAATACGACATAAGCCACACAACCGTCACACAGCCAGTTTATAGGGTGGACCCATTAATTCATCCTCAGATCTTAATTTCGACCTGAACCAGAGAACAATCAATCTTCAATTCAGTATCCACAGAGGCATAATTTGTTTTTGAACGTGGAGGACTTTGTAACCCAAACAGATTTAACAGTCACCATTTGCTACAAGGGGAGTCTTCGAACGGTGGGGATCGAACTCATGATACCTTGGATATGGGCCCAACGCCCTACCAACCTGGCTATCCCGACCATTTTTTCCGTCAATTTTTCTATCAGGTTTTAATTTTTCTTGAAAGTGGCTACCCTGCATTAAAAATTTTAAATAGAAAAAAGCAGTTCCTTCAAATTTTGTGAATCTGATATCGTATCATCTTTTTAAAAAAACTATTCACAGTGATAAAATTAAGAACGAACTAAGGAAAAAAAAGCTCTAAAACTGAAATTTAAGTATTCAAACTGTTGTCTTTCAGACAATATCTTAAGTATAAAAAAAATTATGTCATCTGACTAGAATTTTGTATGGAAATTATGCTAATTTTAAGATAAGTTGAAGAAGAACTCTAGATGTAATAAATTTATCAACCCTTAACAGAGGAATGCAGCCAAAGATCGTAAAATGCTTTAAAAAATTCCTAATATTTTATGGTAATTTCAAAACCCTTGACTATGAAATATTTTAGTCGCCAACTCACAAAAAGTTCATAAATTCTGTTTTCACCAGTTATTTAATTTTTCATCATAAAATTTTTTATTTTCAAATTTCCATATTCGGCTGTACTTTTACTTTTATTTATTTTATTTATTTTACTTATTTATTTATATGTGTAATTTCTTTTTTTTTTTTTTGAAATTTTGCGCAGATCTGACTAATACATAAAATAAATAATTTTTAAAAATGAAATTTTCTATTTGATTTTTTGATGGTATTTAATCAGTGCAAAACATTTAAATTGGCAAAAATGTCTTATTCTTTACTATTTAACAGATTAAATAACTGAAAATTTATTAGTTTACGAGCGCAAGTTAAATTACTAATAAATGATAATTTTAATTATGGTATTATTGTCTTTGGATGGACGATTTTTAAAATTCAATTCATCGAAATGATTTTTATAATTGAATGATTTAAAAAATTTTCGAGCTACAGCAAAATACTACAAAAAGTGAAATTGGCATTAAGGGAAAAACTAGTATTATTACCATATTTTCAGATTGCGACGACCCCAAATATTTTGAAGGTCAACAATCTAAATTCGTCGGAAAAAAAAAAGATATGGAAGTTCAGAAAAAAAAAACTTTTTGTAATTTAAAATATCATCTGCACTAATTAATTAGCATATTTAAAGCTAGGGGGCCGTTCAAAAAGTACGTACACAAAAATGGAGAAATTTTAAACCCCTCCCCCCTTCGTACATTACCGTACATAAGGTCTTACTCCCCCCCCCCTTAGAGTACGTACATTTTATTAGTCTACCCCCCTTTTTCATAAAAATTAAAATAATTATGTTTTAAATAAAATTAAATATTTACTTAAGGAGTGTGTAGGATAAAGTCAAATTTAAATTTGGTGTATGTTTATAAAGTACGTACTTTGTATAATACCTCCCCCCCTCCCCATCGTACAAAACCGTACATAATAGCAAATCCCCTCCCCCCCCCTTCGGGATGTGCGTACTTTTTGAACGGCCCCTAGGGCCTTCGAGCCATAAGGAGAATGCTATAGCGCGGGGAAACTGTTTGTGGTAAATTCCGTTCTACCTTCATATTTCAAAATCTAAAAATTACAGAAAAGTGGTAAACCTGGAGCAAATCGGGAAGTTTCGGAATTTTACTTATGGTAAACAAAACTTTAACTTAAGGTATCAGCCATGTACCTGCGGCGAGACATGCAGACTTAATTAATTAAGCCTGACACTTGGTCTTCGAAATAAGAGGCTTAAACTAGGCATACAAAAAACCACACCCAGTTAATATTTTACTGTAATTTACAGTGACGGGAATTTAAAAAAAAAAACTGTTTTAAATTTAAAAATTGTAGCGCAATGTTTCCCTTATACTTGTCATCAGTTTGATAAGAAGATTGCAAGGTATCAGGGCAGTAATTGATACTTTAACTTCTGTTTCGCTGACACAAATGAAGTTACTAAATAACAGGTTTAGTTGAGAAACTTCGGAGAACACAATTATTTATGGCATTTAAATATAATTGTCATTTCAAACTAAGTTGGTAGCTCCAAATTTTAATAATAAATGGCTTAATTTGCATACTCTGACGCATAATCAAGTCTCAAATTTATTTAAATGTATACAATTTTTACCAAATTGATTGAAACTCCGTGTTCTTTGGACTACTGTAATTCTTTAAAGGATTGGATTTTTTGTTGTTGTAGAATGGTGAGATTCTTAGGTGAAAATTTGTGCTCCTTTCATACAAAATCCGGAGGTGGCGCAAAAATAATAACAATAATAATATTGCGATTTTACACAAGTTTTCAACTTCAATATACATTTTTATAAAGCACAATGAATTTTTTTGGATTATTTATTGGATGGCATTAAATTGGGACCACTGATAAAAGTTTTGATATATACTATAAAAACTATGCTGAATATGGTGCTGAACTTTCGTCCGTTTTCTGTTTTTAAAATTAAGAACACCCATCCCATAACACCGTCCCAATTATCCCCCCGGTCTTTAATTTTGATTGATGTTTTTTTGTGTGGTCCATAGATGTTACATTACAATATTCCTGTTTACTGGTGGTACCAATCGATATGTTTGCTCGTGGGATTCTGTGTGCCTTTGGATTGACTATTTATTATCAAATGAACTAACTATTGGAACTAATGAACTGGATTGACTAATTATTGTCAAATGAATTATTGAAACTAATGAACTGTATTGACTATTTATTATCAAACTATTGAAACTAATAAACTGTGGATTGATTATTTATTATCAAACTATTGGAATTAAAGAATTGGATTTACTACTCATAATTAAACTAGTGGAACTAATTAACTGGATTTACCAATTATGAAATGAACTGCTGGAACTAACTAGCTGGATTGACTATTTGTTTTCAAATAAACTATTGGAACTAATGAACTGGATTGTCCATTTATTATCAAATGATCCATTGGAAATAATGAGCTGGATTTGCTAATTTTGAAATGAACTCCTGGAACTAACGAGCTGGATCGACTATTTATTTTCAAATAAACCATTGGAACTAATGAACTGGATTGATTATTTATTATCAAATGAATTATTTGAACTGATAAATTAGATTAATTTTTTATTATCATATAATATAGTTGAAGACGTCAAGTTTTATTACTTAAGTATAAAAATTATTCGCACTATTTCATGATACATATTTACTTTAAATAAAATTTTGTGTAATTCGATTGATTCGAAAAAAAATTTGCATTTCATTTTCTCGATTAATAAGCAATCAGCAATATCAAAAATTCCAAACCAGCAATTTTTCAGAAAAGAATATTCTTTGAAAATAATGATTGCAATTCTACTTTTTCAGTTAGAAAAAAAGAAGAAAGGATGAAGCGGCAATATTTCAAAAAGGGATAAATCTTAAAACACAAAGAGTGTTCTTAAAAATTACGAAGAGTTTTATTCCTTAGAAATAATTGTTCTTTGAAATAATTGTTCAATTCCAAATCAGCAATAGTTCAAAAAAGAATAATCTCTGAAAACTACGATTATAATTCTATTTTATCAGCTCGAAAAAAAGCAAACAAACTGCAATATCTCAAAAAGGAGTAAATCCTAAAACACAAAGAGTTTTCTTTAAAAAATTACGAAGAGTTTTATTCCTTAGAAATAATTACTCAATTTTCTTAGAAATAATTGTTTAATTCCAGATCAGCAATAGTTCGAAAATGTAAAATCTCTGAAAGAAACGATTGCAATTCTATTTTCTCAGTTAGAGGGGGAAAAAACTGCAATATCTCAAAAAGCGATACAAAGAGTTTTTTTTAAAAAATGACGAAGGGTCTTATTCCATAAAAATAATTGTTTAATTTTCGTAAAATCTTTTGATAAATTTTATTATATCAAAGTTAGATGTTCTTTTAAAGAGTAAAATCAAATTTGTGAAAATTTGATTGAGTCGAAGAACAATTTTTTTTTCCTCAATCGGCAAGAACGGCAATCACTCGAAAAAATCGTTATTCTATTAATTTTTACACGCAATTTTATCGACAATGAGAAAAAAGAAAGAAAGAAAGTAAAATATGTCAGTTTTTTTGACAGCTTTTATGCTGATCAGTCAAAATAAATTATTTTTTACATTAAGATTGTGGTCATGCAACGTACACAAACAATATACACATAAAATCACAAATGCCCCCCCCCCTTTTCTGACGGGCATGTACCACTCTCTCATTAGAGTAAACCCACTCCGAGTCACGTGACTCTTCCCTCAATTTCCATCCCCGCCTTCAGAAGAACTTGTTGAGTAGTAAACCTGTGGCGGACTGAAGGCTCAGCATATGCCTTCTCAGCTCTGTGCCAGGTACAAGGTGTCATGCTGAGCTGCTGCATTTAACTGCTGCGATCGGATCGGAGTGGTCCCGCATCGAAGTGCTCTTCATTTTAACTAATGTTCTTTTATTTTATTTTTATATATATATCAGCTGCGCCCATACAGTGAAAAAGGTCGCAAAGAGCATAACCTTGGATTCCTTTTTGTCTTTTGTGTTTCAAATTGCGAACTCTACGAGAACATGTGTTTCTTTTTAAAATAGCAGGCGATTTGTCCTGACAGTTTGCGTCACCTGACTTAGTTTGTTTCGTTATTATCAAAATCGTTTGCTGATGGATATATCTGTTTGTATTGATAAACAAGAAAGAAAAAAAAAAGATTTTCTTTCGTGTACCCTCTTATGATAATTACATTTAAACCGGCATAAAATAACTGCTTTGAAAAGAAATGGAAGTTTTTATTTCGGGAAAATATTGAAAAACATTTTAACATTTCAAACGATAATATTTCCGCAACATTTATTTTGGAATTTTCTTGCTCATAAGTTAAAAACTTCAACTCTGTTGTTTGTGATTGTTGTTCGGATTTATAAACATATTTGGATTGGTGACGTATTTCAGAAAAATATTGTTCTGTGCTTATTAATTCTCATAGTATCTGTGAAAAGGATAATATATTTTTGTTTGAATTCGGGGAACAATAAATACAGACAAACCATTTGAAGAAATACATCCTTACAACTTGCGGGTGACCATTAGCTGAAGGTAAGTGATTTGTTCTACACAAATTATAATTCTAATTAGGAAATTTATTTGGCATTTTATGTATACATGTTTAAATTATCTGTATGTAGTGGTAGTCAAAATTATTTTAAATCAATTTTCTTCCATGAATAAAATATTACTCCATAACCTTAACTGTCATTAGAAGAAAATTGTTTGCAGTTTCAACGTAAAATTCTATTAAAGGGTATTTATTCATTCAGAATATTGAGAGTAGGAAATAAGAACAACATAAAAAGAACGTGATACTTTTGTATCACCTTCTCGGCAGTTCGTTCAGATAAACGTAAGTCCTAAGACCCTGGTGTACCCCAGTGATACTTTCTCTTCTTTTGTATCAAACTTAGTTAAGAACATAGTTTGGTTATCTTACTATTACGTAATTCCATTCACATTTGGCGCAGTATAGCCACGTTCTTGATAATATCCTACATTCAATTCAACCATTGAGAAACGTGAAATCTCTTCTTTTTTAATTTTTAGCAAAAATTTATAAAGTACTAGTTTATTAACTCGTTCCATGAATTTCTGAAAAAATTAACATATTTATCTGTTGCTTACGTGAATATAGGACTGTTATATACAGTTGAAAAATTTTTTAAAAATGATTTTGTACATACAGCAGTATCATTAATCAAGATAAAAAAAAAAATTCTTTGGGGGGTAAGAGGGCATTGCCAGAGTTTAAAAGAAATTAACAGTTGCTATTCAATTATGTTAATTTATTAACGTCCAAACTTTTATCTTGCAGTAATCTGAAAATTTAGCCTATTTTATGCGCGGTAATGTGCATTCATTTAAACCAATTTGATGTAAGTTGTGCAACGTTACTAATTTTAATTTTTTTAATCAGAGATTTATATGCATATAAAAAGTAAATATATTTTAGTAAATGCAAATATTTTACTTAGTCAAGTTAAATGTTAAAAATGAGGTTGTGTTATAAATACTATTTTGAAGAAAAAAAAGATATTCAAACAAAAACGCTGAAATCTCTAATTACACTTTATTCAAGCATTGCATTATGAAAATCTTGTCGACAACTGTCAACAATTAATTTACATATCTTTCAACCAAATGTTTACTCATAGAGGACATTCAATTAAAATTAAAGTAAATAAATAAATTTTTTGTTTTAAAGTGGTATTAAAATAATTTTTAAGTTTCTTCATATAATTCTTTTAGTAATTTGTTCATTAATGGTTTTTTAAAGCACTACTTGCCTAAAAGAACAAAAATATTCGTAATAAAATAGCAGTTTAAATATTTCAAACTTGGTTTTATTGAGCATTTGAACCATTTTAACCTTTTAATAGCGAACTTGCACGATTGTTTGCTTTCTCAAATCAAAGTTTCCTAAGAATATCGAACAATTTCCAAACAAGGCTTGAATAACTTGACGAACTCGTCAAATTAATTGCCAAGTCATTACATGGTGGGCAAGCTAAAATTTATATTGCAAAAAAGTTTTGCTTCCTGCAAAAGATTTTTGTTTCTTCGAAAGATTTTCATTCCCAACGATTTTTTTTCAAATAAATAAATAAAAATAAAAAAATAAATAAATAAAATAAATAAATAAATAAGTAAAATAAATAAATAAAATAAATAAATAAATATAAAATAAATAAAATAAAAAATAAATAAAAATAATAAATAAAATAAATAAATAAATGAAATAAATAAATAAAATAAATAAATAAATAAATAAATAAATAAATAAAAGAATAAATAAATAAACAAAAATAGATAAATAAAAATAAATAAATAAGAATAAAAATAAATAAATTTAAATTTTTTTTCTGTACAAAAAATCATAAACCAAGATTATTTGCATAGAAGCATACATAGAGTTTGCCATTGGAAAGAAATTTCACTCAAACTACCGTACTAAGTGACAGCTTTGTATATTGGTTATTTTTAAACAACTTTCTTTTCGTAATATTGTTTTTCGATATCAGTCCAAAGAGGCAAGTAAACTTTATTACTTCGTTTTTTAAATCACATCTTATTGCCACAACACAATGTAAAGTAAATAAATTAATAAATAAAAGAAAAATAAAAGCGTTAGCCGTTGTGATAAATATTCGTTCAAAATTAATGAAGAGCAAATTATTTTCATAAATGTTTAGAATATTTATTTACTTTTGGTAACTGAGTCATAGGAAATAATATTTTTATTTAAAAATGGGATTAAAATAATAATAATGGTTATTTATTTCGAAACTATTATAAAATTTAAAGTAATAATTTTTTGCCAGTGTTATTATAAAAAACTCATTAAATTTTATCTTGCGCATAAGCCAAACATAAAAAAAAATGGAAAATGGAAAAATTTTATTTTCAGACAAATAAGGAGAACGAAGCAACTTTCTTTAAAACTTCACTCAGTATATTAAACGTTTAAGCAAACATTATAAATTCTTCGCTTTTATTCTATTATTTTTTTTAGTAATTTAAAAAAAATTTATTACCATATTTGAATTTTAATAAGGAAATTGAAATATTTCACTACCACGAGCAATTTGTTTTAAATGATAAACTGCCTACTTTGTTATTCTTTCATTTTTTGAAGTATTTCACTTATATTAATTTATTGTATTATGTTTCATATTTTTTTTTTTTAGTTCTGAATTATATTCTAAAGGAAGGGAAACAAAACCCAGTATTATCTGCTCTTAAGAGAAATTCACATAGAATAAATAAACTCATCATAAGAAATTTCGTCCACATTATAGTAAATAAATGTATTTTTATGCGCTATATATACTTTGCATAAGCAATATTAAGTCCTAGATCCTATATTTTGTGTACACACGTGTTCGATATTTCGTATAACGCATCATTCAGTTTATGTGATGTTTCATATACGTAATATTTTGTCTGGATATTGTGTTATAAGTCTTCACTTACTAAACAAATACATTGAAATTTCTGTCTTTTAAAATATTTCTTGTTTGATTTATTACACGCAGGCCTGAAAGCGAGACGGAAAAGAGAAAATACTGATAGTAGAACTATTTCAATAATAAATAATTTTCGGGAGGAGTAAATCTATTCTTAACAATAGATAATTCACTGCTATCATTTTTTTTCTCGGGGAAGATTTAAATTCAATATTTAAATTTTTTCCGTTAAAAAATTTTTAATTCGGGGAAGAAGTAATTCAATATTTAAAATTTTTCCGTTAAAAAAATTTGAATTCGGGGAAGAAGTAATTCAATATTTAAATTTTTCCGTTAAAAAAATTTGAATTCGGGGAAGAAGTAATTCAATATTAAAATTTTTTCCGTTAAAAAATTTTGGCAGTTGTAGATAATATATTGTTGTTTTGGCAGTTGTAGATAATATATTGTTGCTTTGGCAGTTGTAGATATAACTCCCCGAAGAAGTGTCGTAAATGGTGACTGATGCATGTTAAATCTATCGAGTCTCAAAGTCCTCCATGTTCCCATAACAAATCAAAATCACTAGGGGTACTGATCCAGGAGTTTCCTTGTCTTCTGAATTGGTTTAAAATTACAAGGTTACGGAGTTCATTTCGGAACATTTTTTTTCTCTGTTGCATGAGATTCTTGAACAGATTCATTTCTGATTTCAAATCTGCAATCGGTTTCTTTCTGCAAGCTGCAGTTTTTGTGCAATTTTGTTATCTATTCATAACCTGGAATTTTTCTCAAGGCAATACTAAATTTTTCCACTTATCTGCTACGTAAGGAGTGGTAGGAAGAAGGTGAGAATACATTTCAGTTTCTGATGCGATACGATATGGTGATAAATTTTTTTATGTGTTAGTATTTTCAAAGAAGCAGACAAGTGCATATGTATGGAAATAAGCCTATACGTTCTATATAAAAATTAGTACATTCAGATGGAAAAAAAATACCGAACTAAAAATTATCTTAAGATAATTATTCTTTATTCAGAAACATCGCATTTAATTATAGTGAAGGATGTGTCCTGATGAAGACCTTTACTTTTTCCCCAATAATAGTTTCTCGATTCTATATTATTTTATTATTATTCTTTGTGTTTATACATATATATATAATACTTTCTCTTCTTTTGTATNTCTATTTACGGTTGGCTTGTACGTTTAATTTCTACTTTCGATCTTAATGGATGCGATTTGAGGGCCTTATTGCGGAACTCCACCTTGGGAACTTCTTTTTCAAGTCTTTCTTTAATGTAAAAGATTGATAGATAGATCTTTTAACCTATTTTTTTTTAGCCTGTATTTGGCAAGGAAAAGATCACATTCGTTATGATAAAAAATAAACTAGTACACATATATATATATAAATCCTAATCCTTGTAATTGGTAAATTCCGATATTGCACGTTTAGACATTTTCTGTGAGAACGAAGCCATCTAGTGAAAGTAATTTTGGTATACAAACCATGTTTGTAAGTTTTACGCTTCATTCTTGGATTAAATTGTTTTCTTTAGATGATGATATCGTATCATACGTGACTGTTATGTTCATTCTTGCATTCTTTTCTCGCATTTTTTTTTCACCGTCTAAATGCGGATAATAATCTACGGTTTTCTGGACTTTCACTCCAATCAATACAGTTATTTGTCACGGGACGTTGGGTTTCCTAAATAATATATTCTACTCTTTCTTGAAGAGAAAAAATCACATGCTTCTATCAAAATATTTTGATAAAATACCGAAACGGATTTATCAGCACAATTATTAGTGTTTATATAAAATTTGCCAATTTCATATGCGGTAATAAGCGATGGCGGACCATTTGAAAAGTAAAATGGCAGAATTCATTTCGTTTTTGAATCTCTTATATTTAATACATTCGTTGCTTTGCATAAATTAACTTGATTTTAATGATAGCTAAAGGGGTTTTATTGTGAGATAGTGAAAGCAGTTTTTGAGAGGAAATGCTTAAGACGTATTTTTGAGAAAAAGGAGAAGTGTAAAAAGAGAATCACCCCCCACCAAGGCCTCACTCCGACAAAATATCGTT